CGAAGTAGTTGGGGTCAAAAAACAAGGTCTTAACAGGCAGATGAAAACAATGCGGCTACACAGAAACGGGTCGAAAACCAGGAAGCTCATGAGCCATTCGAGACAAACTGGCACAGACTAAACACACAACGACAAAGAGGTGGAAACAATAAGGGCAATACAATTAAGGTATCAAAACTCATTACTCCATTAAAGTTAAATATTGCAGCATGAAAAAAGCAGTAAATAACACTTCTTATTTTTGTCACCCTCACAAGCAATTCAGTATAATATAATGTACATCAAATAATAATAAATATGAAGAATATGTTCTGTATATATGTGAGTCGTCTCCGTGCTAGTTACTTCCTCCAGAATGTCATCCGCCTGTCAATACCAGCCTTGACAGGAACGCGTAAGGTTGGGCCAAAACCAATGTTGCCTCAGGCTGAGTCTGTTTAAAGACGCTGTTTGGCTAAATATTATGTCACACATTAAAAAAAAATTGAATTAGCAATTGGCTAGTGCATCTTCTTAGACCCGCCTTCTGCTGCTAACCTCACCCCCTTAGCGCAGACAGGATGTGTGTATGACAGGCAAGACGTGCAGGAACAGAATATATTCAGTGCAGATATCATATTTTACAAATATTACTGGGTACATTTCATATTCCAAAAACGGGGAGTGTCTTGATTGTATTTGGAGAGTGTCTTAGCAGTTTTGGGGAGTGTCTTGATTGTATTTGGGGAGTGTCTTGATTGTATTTGGGGAGTGTCTTGATTGTATTTGGGGAGTGTCTTGATTGTATTTGGGGAATGTCAGCGGTTTTAGGGAGTGTCTCGATTGTCTGGTCTGTTTGGAGGGACCACACCTTGCAGATTCAGAAAGATTCTCTTTGTGTTCCTGCAGACGGCTCAGACGGTTCTCCTGGTTGTCACTGCCTTCACCATCTGCTGGATGCCCCACCACATCATCGCCATGTGGGTGGAGTTCGGCACCTTTCCCCTGAATGACGCCACTTTTGCCTTTCGTATCATTTCCCACTGCCTTTCTTATGGAAACTCCTGCGTCAACCCCGTCCTCTACGCCTTCCTGTCCGAGAACTTCCGCAAGGCCTGTCGCCAGGTCTTCACCTGCAGCTTCCTGCACCCGCCCCCATCCACGGGAACGCTGGTCCGTTTACGCATGGAGAACTTCTCCACCACACACTCAACCACCCCGATCTGAAGGGAGGACGTAATCAGATACATAATGGAAACAAGCATATATCTTCTTACAGCAGGATCTTTGTCACATGACAACACAACGGCTTTGATTGGCTGCCAAACGTTTCATTATTGACAGAATTACTTAATGAACAGAAAAGAAAACTGCAAACTTGGATGAATAAAATAATCGTCTTCTAGATTTTATATAGAAACAAAACACAAGCCTGGTTTTCAGCAATGTGACTGAACATTTAAAGAAATACAATAACAATTGTTGTTCTCTTTTTAGAAATGAAAGATGAAAGTTGCTATATCGTCATTACCGTTCAGCTTGATAATAATCTACGCCCGTGGAAACAGAGGGTTCAGCATGTATTTCACTCTTCAAAAATATTTGTAATATATTTAATTTATTGTTTTTTTCAAATGTTGGTTTGTGTGTTTGAGAGTAGGTGTTTTCCCCCCAATGAAAGAGAAACTCTGCAGGTGATATTTTCCCCTCAACGCTCCCCGGTTGAGCCATTCTGGTCACTCACACAGCTCCTGAACCCCAATTATCCCCCTGACATCAAATCAACAAATTTAAACTAACAATTCTAAACATTCATTTACATTTCTAACTTATGTCACGAGTCAGTAACAATTTACTTTTAGGAGTGTTTTGGTACATTCAAACAACAGAACTGTTTGAACAGAACATTCAAACAACAGAACGGTTCTGTTGTACCTTAACAACAGAACCGTTACATAAATAGTGGTGAGAATGTTAATTTACAGGTTTTATTAATAGCCTGCTACACGTTTGAATGTGGATGCAGTGGGGGCTGCCACTAGGTGGCATTGTTCACTTTCTTACCCAAACTGGGTGCGAGGATCATCGCCTCGTGAAGCCATGAAGTGCCTGAGTAACGTTTTGCGGCTCCGTACGGGGAGCCCTAGGCGTTCCCTCTCCACACTACATCTAGAGTCTGTTTGTTCCACGCCGGTGTGAAACCGTTGGACAGGACATTTATTAAATGCTTGCAGCATGGAGCAGAGTGGACGCCTGTACAAGACGTGCATAAACGTGCATAAAGACTACTCAATAATGTCGAGAGAATATGCCTTGAGAGGTCGCATTGTCGTTCATGATTTGAAGAAGATGGAGAAGTAAAACTTTTGTTTACCCTTTGGCAATAAAACTTCACAACATGACTTCCTTGGGAAAATATCCCGATCCTGCTTCACAAATCATCTGTTTATCTCAGGAACACCATGTATCGGATCAGGAGGTCACGGACGCTTTGTCCACTTACAATGAACCTTGTTCTAATTTCCCCCAAATAATCCCTTATGATGTGCTCTTGGTCTACTCCTGGACCTCTTACCAGTTGGAGGGGTCTGTATACCCTTTAAATGGGAGGGGTATTGAAGGAAGTCAGATATCTGGGATCCTCACCCCCTCTTTAAGGCTGTGCTCCCTACAAAGGAATGTCAGTTCAGATAATTGCATCCTCAGCCTTTGTCTCACTATCCAAGCTCATGACCTTAGGTGAGGGTCTGAACCAAGACCGACTGGTAAATCCACAGCTTCGTGTCTATTCAACCTTTACTGGTGGACAAGATCTGGAGACTCTTAAACTTGTTTGGGGCAGTGACTCATTCCCAACCAGGAGGAACCACCGGTACCTTCAACTCGGACCTCAGGCTTGGAGGTACTGGTTCACCCGAATGCAAACTGCTGGGCTGTACGCTGAAGGGTCTCTGAGTAAGTTGCATATTGAAAAACAAAAGGTTCAGGGTCTGCTCATCGGCAGCGTAGGCGATGCACAGAGCTGAGAGTTCCACAGCAGGGGGCGCCACATGGTAGCACAATGTCTTTTAGGGACACAGTGGTGGTCCTCTGCAGGGGTCTAGATGTTGACGTGGAAGTAGCCTAGCAGCTACCTACATGTCCTAAAGTGGTCCGTTTGCCACTTATCTCATATGGTCGGAATGATACTTTAGTTACATTTATATTGATGAATGTTATTATGATTCATTTGATCTCAATAAAATCATAATGAATATTCATTGTCAGTTGTGTTTTTCAGTCTTTAAGTGAAATTTATGTCAGTTTATCAGTGTATTTATTTCTCTATTCTGGCTTTTGTGCTGTTTATTTCCATCAGGCAGATGAACATGTTTTTACACCCTTGATGATGTCATCAATGATGTCACGGGAAAGAACATGGAGGGACAATAAAAAAACATCTCGTTATGTTTAAAGCGTTCAGACTAAGTGATGAATGTTAGCGTATTTAGTGCTTGATGTTTAATGACAATCCTATCATGTGATTTACACTTTACACCAGACACACATCTGAATTGAGTCCTTATTCAACTCTGTCTCTCTGTCTCTGTGTGGTTGGAAAACTATTCCTGTCATATCTTTACTTGTTTGCAATTGTATTTGTTATATTTTATTGCGTGTGGGTTGGTAATGAAGTTGTGCCCCCCCATAGTTCTATGCGCCCCCCTCTGTGATCCCGGTGGTTCATGTGGTCCACGTGGTCAAAGTGCTTTGGCTGGTAACCAGAAAATACGTCACCAGCATCAATGACATCATTTCAAAATGACTGAATGACACAAATCTCAGTTCTCAAATCTCTGTTGGTGTCCCCACAAAACATTAAACATTACAGTAATGTGTTGGTGAACAGCGAGTTCAAGTGGACACGAGGAGGAAAACTGTTCAATCACAAAAGCAAGAGACCGTTAAATCAAACTAAATTCAGTTTCTACGACAGGAAAACAATGTTAAATACAATTATTATATTTCTTGTTTTTTACGAGAAAGCTATGCCGGAATAATCGCTGACGTTATCATGACACGAACAGAATCAAGGTAAGGAGGAGCGGTACCAGTGAAACAATGTAGTTATTTTCATCCCGTATCGCTGCTCAGCAACACGTTCCCGCTCAGGAGACCTTTGAGAAGTCTGGATTTTCATCCATTTAATAAATGTCTGTTTGAGTGTTTATGGCATAATAATGATACATATTTATTCTTGTTTATTTTAACACTTTTTTTGGTTACAACATAATTCCATTTGTCCACCTGCAGATTTGTTATGTGTTCAATATCAATCTGCAATGTAGAAAAAAATACTGATTCAGAAAAGGCGTCTAATGAGAGTGAGAACCAGAGAGATTTTCACTCTTATTGTTGTTGGATTGTTAATGTTTCCATGTTGTCTTTGTTCTGGATTATGATACAACCGTCACCAGGTACAATAATTAATCGAACATCATTAACATCTCAAATGCTTTGTGTTCAGAAACGTCCCCTCTGATGGACGAGTCCAGCGGCTCCTTTGAGCAAGGCATCAACCGCTCAGCTGCTGCAACAGCAGAGACATAATCCCTCCGCTCATAATCGGACTCATAAAACAATCGTTATTAATATATTATTATCTGTGTCTGTATTTGTCGCTGAGTTTCCTTTAATGATTTACAATCCAACATTTAATCACATTTATTTCAAATGAAATTGCACCGAGCACAGACCAGCCGTCATTCAGCCCGATGTCATCTCTTCTTCTCTGTGTGAAAACTCACCAGAAGAATGAAGGTCACATGACCGTCCTCTCAGCGGCTCATCCTGTGTCGTTTTAATGCAGCTTTACTAAATGAATCATAAAAGGACAATGTCTCCGTCTCTTTCGTCCTAAAGCAGATTTACGTCCAATCAACATTTATTAAATCTCCATCCATTAACAATCCCCCCCCCCATCCGCCCTGTGCACAGCAGCGTCCACTAATCCTTATTACAGAGGAGAGGACGAGGTCTCCGCCTGTCACATCCCGCCAGTGAAGGCTGGACGACAGGACACTACCTGGGACGGGAGCAGACAGGAGAAGACGTAGGAGGACAGCTGATCTTCTCCAACATGGACAGTAGGGGGAGGAGAGGCACCAACGGGTCGCTCAAACGGTCGTCCATCAAACGCAGCGCCTCCTCTGCATCGCAGAAGGTAGGAAGGATTCAAACCCACAACCTGTTCTAGATCCTGTGAGTCTCCACCCATCGGAGGTGGGTCACTGCAGACGTTAAAAAGGTCTCGCTGAGACACATCTGTAAAGTTCTGACATCGGATCACAGAATCCAGGACAGAAAAAAGCAAGTTTTAACTTTCTGTCAGAGCTGCTGGTCCTTCAGGGAGCTGCTGGTCCTTTAGAGAGCTGCTGGTCCTTCAGGGAGCTGCTGGTCCTTTAGAGAGCTGCTGGTCCTTTAGAGAGCTGCTGGTCCTTTAGAGAGCTGCTGGTCCTTCAGGGAGCTGCTGGTCCTTTAGAGAGCTGCTGGTCCTTTAGAGAGCTGCTGGTCCTTTAGAGAGCTGCTGGTCCTTTAGAGAGCTGCTGGTCCTTCAGGGAGCTGCTGGTCCTTCAGGGAGCTGCTGGTCCTTTAGAGAGCTGCTGGTCCTTTAGAGAGCTGCTGGTCCTTCAGGGAGCTGCTGGTCCTTTAGAGACCTTGAGATAGTTAATATTCCTCCAAATGCGTCCTGTACTATATGAGGAAGTTAGGAAAAGTCGTATCATTCTGTATCTGTTGATTCTCAGTCTGTGTTCCCTTTCAGACTCAGCGTGCGTGGATCGAGAGAACCTTCCAGAAAAGAGATTGCATCCAGGTTTTCCCCAGCAGAGACGCCAACAGGTAGCGTCCCCCCCACACCCCTATGTGAAGACCGGGGGAAACATCGTCTTTCAGAGAGACCTCCGTATCCTCCATCTTCTTTCCTTCCGCCTCGCTATAGTTCTGTCCGTCTTTGTCTTCTTGTCCAGGTGCGCTTGTGGCCTGCCGGTGACGCAACACACCTGCGCCCCCTCAGGGTCTAAAGAGGAGGGGGCCCCCCTGGTTCAGCTTGAGGTCCAACCGGCAGAGAAATGGAACCCGGTGAAACACACCCAGAGCTCACCTACCGACGCCTACGGGGTCATCGAGTTCCAGGGAGGAGGACACGTCAACAAGGCCATGGTGCGTCCGTCAGCTGTACCATGTTCACTTTATATGGATAATGTTTTTATTTAAAATGTAATATTTCATATTTTGATATGATGTAATGTTTCTGCTGCTCCCCTATTGGATCAATAACTCCTCCTTCTCCTACTTCTCTTCTTCATCCGTCTTTCGGTCCTCTTCCGTCTCCCGCACAGTACATCCGGGTCGCAAACGACTCTAAGCCGGACCACCTCCTCCACCTGATGGTGAAGGAGTGGCAGCTGGAGCTCCCCACGCTGCTCATCTCAGTCCACGGGGGCCTGCAGAACTTTGACCTGCCGCCTAAACTCAAGCAGTTCTTCGGTAAAGGACTCATCAAAGCCGCAGTGACCACCGGAGCCTGGATCTTCACCGGAGGAGTCAGCACCGGTACCGTTCCAGTCAAGGGCGTAACCATGGTTTAGACATGGACAGTTCCATGATCCATTGACAGTCCATAAATGGAGAACATACTTTTTTGTGTTTTCTGCTGTACATTGGGGGGACAGATTGGTATTTTCTCAATATCGGGGGGACACGAGCCCCCCAAAGAATGCGTAGTTAAGCCCTTGGTTCCAGTCACCAGCTGTTTCTCACCTTCTATTTGTAGTTCAAAATCCTGAGCACTGAGCCAGGCTAGCTTTCCCCCTCTGTTTCCCCTCTTTGTGCTAAGCTAAGCTAATCAGGGCTCGGTAGTCACAAAGCAGATATTATCGGGAAGAAAGTAACTTTTTTATTTCAGTAAAAAAGATAAACATTGGAGACTTAAATTATAGGATTCATGTTTTCGAGACCACTTGAGAACGGGACCTCCTTCCCTGACCCGGTTCTGATCTCGTGGTTTTTCAGGAGTGATCCGGCACGTCGGAGACGCTCTCAAAGACCACTCGTCCAAGTCCAGAGGGAAGGTGTGGGCCATTGGCATTGCACCGTGGGGCATCATTGAGAACAAAGAGGACCTCATCGGGAAAGATGTGAGATAAACTGGATCCAATTAGACCCGAATAAGACCAAACCAGACCAAACTACTCTCAATTAGAACAGAACCAGACTGAAAAAATGTACTCATTTAAAAGATAAAAGGTCTAAGACTCATAGAGACGGTCAGTTCCTTCTCTATTCCAAAGTTTAATGAGTCATTACCTGTACAAAGACATAGCCTTGTTTGTGACTCCTCCCACCTACGATTGGACCAATGGGATTGCTTACCTTCCAGGTGACCCATCCCTACCAGACCATGTCCAACCCGCTCAGCAAGTTGTCGGTCCTGAACAGCAGCCACTCCCACTTCATCCTGTCCGACAACGGGACCGCCGGCAAGTACGGCGCCGAGGTCCGACTCCGCCGCCAGCTGGAGAAACACATCGCCCTGCAAAAGATCAACACACGTGAGTCATTTCACTTCTCATGATTGACATCAATTCAACTCATTCTGCAATTTAGACTCAATCTCTAGTTTCAAGTCTTCTTCTCTCTACTGGTTCATGTAGAGTCACAAACCAGAGTCAGACCCTAAAGCAGAGGATGCTTTAGGGAGGGGCTACACGCCGATTGACACGCCCACACTCTATCCGGTCTGGGAGTTGTTTCTGTAGGATTAGGGTTACCAATCATGTGACCCGTGGGTTTCCCTTTGTCATCCTTTGCCTGGAGGTGTCTGTAAGGCAGCGGCAGCAAAGGGAGGCTCAGCCATCACTCACTTCAACCAACACCTCACTGCTCACCTGAGAATCCAGACACCAGAGACGGAGATACCAAAGATACTAGAGACACCAGAAACACGAGAGACAGATAGCACAGTCACCAGGGACACCATAGATACATCTAGGGACACTAGAGTCTGCAGAGACAGTGATGCTAAAGACACTAGAAAAACTGGAGAAGCCGAGACACGAGAGACGCTGAGACATCAGAGACACCAGAAAAAGTAGGGAAACAGAGAACTCTGAGACATGTCCCTGACATTAGATCATCCGTCCCCCCCACCAGCATCCCTCTTATACTGTGCTCCTGTTCTGTCGTGGTTGTTGTTCTTGGTGTGGTTCTTATTCCGTCAGTAGTCGTAACAGGATCCCTTTCCCCCGTTATCATAACACGGAGTGTGTGTCACATTTGTCTCAGGTCTGGGTCAGGGCGTCCCTGTTGTGTGTCTGATATTGGAGGGGGGTCCCAATATAATCTCCATTGTGTTGGAGAGCCTGAGGGAGGAGCCTCCCGTCCCCGTGGTCGTCTGCGACGGCAGCGGCCGAGCGTCCGACATCATCTCCTTCGCCCACAGATACTGCGGCGAAGACGGGTGAGTGACTCCCTAAGACACTTCCTGTTGTGCAACTCTAGTGTATCTGACGTCTCTAAGAGTTGGAATATCTCTAGTGTCTCTGTCTCTAGTGTCTAACGTCTCTAATATCTCCCTGCCTGGTACCTTTTGTGTCCATGAAAGAAACTATATTTCTGCTGAGTCTCACATATCCAGATAAAGTAAACGCCGTCATGTCTAATTGAAGACCCGTTGAGGTGACTCCCACTTCTCCCGGTCACTCGACCCTGGTTCACCTTCCCCAGATTGCTGAGCGACAGCGCCAAAGATCAGCTGATGGTCACAATCCAGAAGACCTTCAACTACAGCCGGAGCCAGGCACAGCAGATCTTCCTCATGGTGATGGAGTGCATGAAGAAGAGAGCGCTGGTATGTCGGGATGGACTCAATAAAGCAGCTGTCCATTGCTCGTCCTGGGGTTCATCCTCATCAACCAAACCACCTTTAAATCATCTCTCTGGTAGTTTTACACTAACATGATGACAAGTGTGATCTTTGGATTATGTTCAGAGGAAGCGTTGGTTTGACGGAATGAAGCAACACGAGGCAACCTTTTGTTTTATGAAGCGAAGCCGAGGATTAATGTTTTAAAGCTGCATTCTCTGTAGTGACCACCAGGGGTGACTCCTCTGTCGGTGACTACGTCTCTCTCTCGATTTATTCCATCAGTAAACATTGTAAACATGAGTGTATGGTCTCAATCTCTGGTTTTAAATCTTCTTCAATACAGCATGATGCTCATTTAGAGAACTACATGAGCTTGTTACAAAGCTACCATTAAAACTACATGTCCATGTATCAGTGCACTCTATGAACACTTAATAGCAATAGTTCTCAGTATAAACCCTGCCCCTTCTGACTGTGGCATTAACTTAATGACCCACATTTGAACTCTGACCCCAAAACTCTGCCTCTTAATGGAGATTGATTTGTGGTCCTGAGCCTCTTTCATTTAATCCCACAATCCTTTGTTTCGCTCTGATCTCAGCCTCACTGTCAGTTCACATAAATCAAACATCAATTCACTAAAAATGGTCCATATTCAGATTAACGTGTTGTGGCAATCAATCCGCTTCTCCGTCCTTTGGAGCCTAGAGAAACAAGGCCAGGAACGAATGCACCCTAGTAAGGTCACAGGGAAGGAGCCACGATAGCCTACACAAGCTAGGCAAGGAGTTAATGCACCCTAGTAAGGTCACAGGGAAGGAGCCACGATAGCCTACACAAGCTAGGCAAGGAGTTAATGCACCCTAGTAAGGTCACAGGGAAGGAGCCACGATAGCCTACACAAGCTAGGCAAGGAGTTAATGCACCCTAGTAAGGTCACAGGGAAGGAGCCTAGGGAGCCTAGAGAAACAAGGCCAGGAACGAATGCACCCTAGTAAGGTCCCATCAGTATATAACATCATCTGTATATCACAGTGTGCAGATCAGTATTGTGTGTGTGTAACGTAGTGCGTAGATCCCAGAGTTGTGCGTGTATCACAGTGTGTAGATCATAGAGTTGTGTGTATATCACAGTGTGTAGATCATAGAGTTGTGTGTGCAGATCACAGTGTTCAGGATGGGCTCAGAGGGACAACAGGATATTGAGATGTCCATCCTGACAGCTCTGCTCAAAGGTAACACGCCCAGTCTCTCTTATATACACAAACACATACACACAGACTCGCACACACACACACTCACAGCCCAGGTACTGTGTGTGTGTGTGTGTGTGTGACTGCAGGTACCAACGCGTCGGCGTCCGACCAGCTGAGTTTGGCACTGGCCTGGAACCGGGTGGACATCGCTCGCAGTCAGATCTTTGTGTACGGTCACCACTGGCCCGTGAGTCGCTCCCTCTAGATCTGTCCCGTCCCATCTCTGTGTCCCTGACACCATGTCCGTGGTGTCTCCATCTCTGTGTCCCTGACACCATGTCCGTGGTGTCTCCATCTCTGTGTCCCTGACACCATGTCCGTGGTGTCTCCATCTCTGTGTCCCTGACACCATGTCCGTGGTGTCTCCATCTCTGTGTCCCTGACACCATGTCCGTGGTGTCTCTGCAGCCTGTGAGCTCCTCCCCCACCGACCGGCCCAAGAGTCCGATGGCCCAGCGAGCGGCAGCGGGCGGCGTGAAGGGCAAAGGCCGGGGAAAGAAAGGAAAAGGGGGCAAAACCAAACCGGAGCCCCCGGAGGAGACGGACCCCAGGAAGCTGGAGCTGCTTAGCTGGGTGAGAGACACCACAATAAAAGCTTTGTTCAAAACTCACAAACCAAAGAAAATGTTTAATCAGAGTATTTTAGCTAAAGTCAGCTGTTGGCTAAACACTGTTAGCAACATGGCTAAACCCAACATACAAGCGTGACTAGAGCCTTTTAGTGGCTGAACTCAGCTGCGATGATGGCGATGATGTCATTGCCTCAGGTGAACTCGCTGGAGCAGGCCATGATGGACGCTCTGGTGCTGGACAGGGTGGACTTTGTGAAGCTGCTGATCGAGAACGGAGTGAACATCCATCACTTCCTGACGATTCCTCGCCTGGAGGAGCTGTACAACACGGTGAGGTTCCCCTGACGACCTGCCGCATCTTTAAATGTGGGTGTGGTCACATGGTTTAATAGTGTGATGTCATCACAGAGACTCTTCAAACTTTACAAGAATCAATAAAGTTACATGCGTAGATATTATGTAAACGGATCACTTTATTCAGGAATGAATTGATGATGAGTAATATGAATAATGAATATTCAGCATCTCTGCAGCAGATTTGTTTCGCTGAAATGTTCCGCACCTTGAAACAACATTTAAATCTAAAAAGAATATTTACTGGTAAGTGGACAATAATGTGTGGGGGCCGAGTCATGTGACATCCTTACATGAGGAGTATTGGTCCTCTTTGTTTAGGTTGGTCAAGCTTAGTATAAGCCGGAGATATTTCAATCTACTGAAATCTTCTTATAAATGTCAGTATTTATAGTAAGCAGCTGTTTAATACAATGGAAAAATAAACCTCAAGTAGAGCTGACGTTATAAGTTGCTTCATCTTTTATTGTTTGAACTTTAAACAGAACAATTACGCCCAGTTTTGGATTTTGGAGACCAAACAAAACTCATTTACTTCAGATTTAGTTGAATATCTTTCTGGAAACCTTCACAGGAAACCTGAATTATTTCACTTGATACTGAGGTAAATTATTATTATTATTATTATACTCATGTATTTCTAACATGCGTGTTGATGTGTGTGGTAACAGACCATAACAATAAATACAACTCATTATAGATGCATATATATCGTGTTATATTGACTGAAAACAGAGAAAGATGCACTCATGTTGAGCTTATTCTTGTGATTACTATTTCTGTGATGATGAGTTATGAAACAAAAGCTTTCTACTTTAAGTTTGATGTTTTATTGACATGTTTATCTGCAGCTTAACGCTCTTCATCTTCTGTTATGTCACTGCTGCCTCTTATCGTCATCCTCTTCACTTAGAAACAACATGAGAGTGACGTTAGTGAATAATGATATATGAGATGTTTATATATATATTTATATATTTAGTCACGTTAGTGAATAATGATATATGAGATGTTTATATATATATATATATATATTTATATATTTAGTCACGTTAGTGAATAATGATATATGAGATGTTTATATATATATATATATATTTATATATTTAGTCACGTTAGTGTCAGATCGGCTCTCTGCTGCCCTCTGGGGGTCACCACGCTTGTTAATCATTAGTTCATATTCATCCTGAATGATGTATATAATAATAATATGTAGATATACACTGTATGATGTCCACACACTCTGCTTCTAATGTAAAACAAGTCCTATTAGAGTAACTTGTGTGTCTCTAAACACTCACAGTTCAGTTATAATATCAATAAGTTGCAATTATATTGCTTGTATACAAGGCATAAACATAGTAAATCAAGGCCATTTGTAATAAAATGAACAAAATAAAATATGTGCAGTGTTGACGCTGACACTCATATATACGTGTATTTGTGTATATGTGTATGTCTATATGTATATATACATTTACATATTTGTAATAGTTTTGCTGGTTCTCTCCTGTAGAAGTTGGGGCCGACCAACACGTTGCATTTTGTGGTGAGGGACGTAAAAAAGGTGAGATTTGTGGGTTTTTTAAAGAATTATTAATGAAATAATTTCGGTATTATTTAATAATTACGCACTAATATAGTTTTTAAAACTTTTATATTAAAACTTTCTTAAGTTTTATTTAATTCTAATCATTTTTTAAAATTAAATATCGAAATTTCTCAAAAACTGTTTTAAAGTTTATCAATAAAAACCCAATTTATTTCTGTTAATTTACGTTTAACGAGGTGCAAACATCTCTGTCACACCGGAAGCTGGTAAAAACCTCTCATGTTATGAGGACCATGCTATCACATAAATAATATTGGTGTTCTTATTAGTTGTAAACCAATTAACAAATGTGTAATTCATTTTACAAATCATTTGGATCTCCTTCCTCTGTTGACACCCATCTTTGCTTCAGGGGAACCTCCCTCCAGACTATCAGATCACGCTGATCGATATCGGCCTGGTGCTGGAGCTGCTGATGGGCGGAGCCTACCGCTGCAACTACACCAGGAAGGGCTTCAGGGCGCTGTACACCAACCTGTACGGCCTCAAGCGAGTGAGCATTCCCCATTGAGAATTCACGTTCAAAAACTACAGCGACACGTTTAAAATCTACAGCGTCATTATAAAAAAACTACTGTCGGTTAAAAAATATCACATTCTAAGAGTCACATTCAAACTAAAACTACCCCATCACTTCAAAACATGATGGCTGAACAAACGTCACACAATAAACTTCAACGGTCAAACACAAAGTGTCGTATAGAAGAGTTGGTTATTTTAAGATCGGCCATACAGGCAATTTGAGTAGTGAAGGAATGTATTGAGTCTTAAATATTAGTGGATGTCTGGGATAAAATCTTTTCGTATTTTCTCTTACAGCCTAAAGCTCTAAAGCTTCTTGGAATGGAGGTGCGTATATTTCTTTATTTTAAACGTTTTCCAAACGCTCATGTGAACCTTCATGGACTCATGTGGACTCATGTTCCTGCAGGATGACGAGCCCAGAACGAAGGGCAAAGGCAAGAAGAACAAGAAGAAGGAAGAGGAGGTGGACATTGACGTGGACGACCCGGAGGTCTGCAGGTTCCAGTACCCGTTCCACGAGCTCATGGTGTGGGCCGTTCTGATGAAGCGGCAGAAGATGGCGCTGTTCCTGTGGCAGCGGGGAGAGGAGGCCATGGCAAAGGCCCTGGTGGCCTGCAAGCTCTACAAGGCCATGGCCCACGAGTCCTCCCAAAGCGAGCTGGTAGAGGACATCTTCCAAGACCTGGAGAACAACTCCAAGTAAGTCCTGCAGACCCAGAGACCAGGTCCCATACAGACCAGGGACCCACAAAATAGCCAGTCCTTCCTATAACCTTCCTTGAGTCATACCCAACTAATAACCCGAGCCAGCCCTGACTATCAACCCGAGCCAGCCCTGACTATCAACCCGAGCCAGCCCTGACTATCAACCCGAGCTAGCCCTAACTATCAACCCGAGCCAGCCCTGACTATCAACCCGAGCCAGCCCTGACTATCAACCCGAGCCAGCCCTGACTATCAACCCGAGCCAGCCCTGACTATCAACCCGAGCCAGCCCTAACTGGTCACTAAGTGTTGTTATTAACGGAAGTGACACCAATAAACCCACGAAAGCCACTGTCATTCGTGATGTAAAAAGTGAAGCTCACATCCTGGCGTGTGTCTTTCTCTTTCAGGGAGTTTGGTCAGCTTGCCTACGAACTGCTGGATCAGTCCTACAAACACGACGAGCAGGTGGCCATGAAGCTGCTGACCTACGAGCTGAGGAACTGGAGCAACTCCACCTGCCTGAAGCTGGCTGTTGCCGCCAAGCACAGAGACTTCATCGCACACACCTGCAGCCAGATGCTGCTGACGGACATGTGGATGGGCTGCCTGAGCATGGGCAAGAGCAACTGCCTCAAGGTACTACCAACACAGCACTCTGGGACCTTGTCAGGTCTGCGGATTGTACCGGATCCGGAAGGGACCCGAGAGACGTATGAGTGTGCATGTTAACATGTGTGGGTGTGAGTATGTTTGTGAGGATCCCTATGACTGTGAAGTCTTCCAATGGTAATGATGATAATTAAACCCTCCGAGCGGATTCTTGTTCCAAGGTGATTCTGGGGATCGTCTTTCCTCCTGCAATTCTGCTGCTGGAGTTTCGTTTGGGAGACGAAGGTTCGTTTCATTCGTCCAAAGAGAACAAGGAGACTAAAAGCAAAGAGGAGGACACTAAATCCAATAAGGTGCAGACTCATAGGAGCAGCTCATCCGTCGGTAAGAACTTGGATACTCATCTGAGGTTTTGTTTCAGGACACCGTCTCCAATGTCGATGCTACGCCGAAGAAAGAAGACGAAGAAGAGGAGCAGAAGGATCACAAGAGGAGGATTCCCATCGGGAAGAAGATCTACGAGTTCTACAACACTCCGTACACCAAGTTCTGGTTCAACACGGCAAGTTTGTGATTACAGACCCAGTGATGGCAACTGAGATGATCTGAAGCATAACCTGTGTGTTCATTCATCCTTGTCCCGGTTTACTCATATTCAGGTTTTAAACTGACTAAAGGTGAACCTTTAATCCAACAAAAGTGCTACTAACAACGTTATTATTATATAGAAAAAACCTACAGAGGAATAAAACCTGTTTCTTCCCCTTTATCTTTATGACGGAGACAAGTTTTATTCTGAAACCGTGAGATTATATTTATATTAATAAACAAAAAAGTGTAAAAAAATACCTAAACTGTGAGCTTGTAGTAACCAACTTGTATGTGCACGTCAGATCTCGTACCTGGTGTACCTGATGTTGTACAACTACATCATCCTGGTGAAGATGGAGCGATGGCCGTCTCTGCAGGAGTGGATCGTCATCTCTTACATAATCACTCTGGGACTGGAGAAAGTCAGACAGGTGAAGCAGAGACACACCTGAGCCCAATCCTTAAATTTGTCACACATATGTAATGCCTCTGAGCTGATAACACTGTAACTACTTTGGTAATACCACTGTGACTAACAATGGGCTATAACAATGTAACTAATGTGGTGATAATGCAGTAAACTCTGAGGTAATAACACTGTAACTACTTATGTTATAACAATGTAACTACTAAGGTTATACCACTTCATATACTGTGATTCTAACACTAACTGCTGAAGTTATAGGCCTGTTACTACTGAGGTTATAACACTAATTACTGACGTTATAACATTGTAACTCCTCAGGTGACACTAACTATTGAGGTAATAACTCAATAATGACTCAGGTGATAACTATGTAACTACTGATATTCTAACACTGTAAATACTGAGTTTATAGGTAATAATTCATCTTGCAGGTTAAAATGATAACAATAAAAATGAATAGGAAAAGCTGCGCATAACAAGAACATCCAATGTACACAATCTGTGAACCATTTTTGATGAAAGAACGAGTCAGATACTTCTGACCCGAGCCAAGGTGACTGATGAGCAGAGGAGATAACCCTTGTCCCTCCTTCAGATCCTGATGTCGGAGCCGGGGAAGCTGAAGCAGAAGATTAACGTTTGGCTGGAGGACTACTGGAACATCACTGACCTGGCAGCCATCTCCGTCTTCCTGCTGGGTTTGCTGCTGCGACTGCAGAGCGAGCCCTCCATGGGCTATGGCCGCGTCATCTACTGCGTCGACATCATCTTCTGGTACATCAGGGTCCTGGACATCTTTGGGGTCAACAAGTACCTGGGGCCCTATGTCATGATGATTGGCAAAATGGTAAATGGGATGACGTTCATTTCAACACTCATCAACAGATCAGAAGATTAAAACGCTTTATTGTCATTGTAGGCAAGTTACATTGAAGCGCTTCCTGTTTGTTATTAGGATGTCTTAGTGTTTCAATTACTTAAACATATCCAACATTCACATTTCCATGAGATTAACGTTTTCTGACGATGATCAAAAGCGGCTTTTGATTGAGTAAGATGTCCCCTAGATGATCGACATGCTGTACTTCGTGGTCATCATGCTGGTGGTGCTGATGAGCTTCGGCGTGGCTCGACAGGCCATCCTCCACCCGGACGAGAAGCCAACGTGGCGTCTGGCCCGAAACATCTTCTACATGCCGTACTGGATGATCTACGGAGAGGTGTTTGCAGACTCCATAGACCGTAAGACTAGAGTTCATAGTAAGACTTCCAGCCACTCAGCTGCTAGTCCTCAAGCCCCGTGTTGACGTCTGTACACACAGCTCTGTCGGTAAACTGTCCCAGAAATGTCCTCATACGGTTTAAATGGCCTCACAAGGCAGAAATAACCAGGTTTAAATGTTCTCATGAGGCACAAATGTCTCCACGAGGAATTCAATTCAATTCATTTTATTTTGTAGAGCCCAAAATCGTAAATTACAAATTTGCCTCAGAGGGCTTTACAGTCTGTACACATACGACATCCTCTGTCCCGAAACGCTCCATCGGCACAGGAACAACTCCCCCCCCCAAAAAAGACGTGTCTTTATAAGGCAGAAATGTCTTTAGAAGGTTATAATGTCTTCACAAGGTTAGAATGTCTTCATACGGTCATTGACATGTCCTCACTTGCTGACGAAACTAAAGGAGGTCATTTGTCTTACATTTAGTCGTTAAGTCACTTGATATGATGGCTGTTCATGTTATTGTTGTTGTTTATTCATTATTGTTTTCTGTTGACAGTGTACGCAATGGAGATCAATCGTAAGTATCGCTGACACAATTTACTTTAATTAACTGCAGCGACACATGCTGTGTTATTCCCTGTAGCTCTTTCACAATAAAAGCCCCTGGTTAAGTGTGATTTGAACACACACGCTCACTGAAACGATGAAGACGTAGTCCTTTGACACAGTCTGCAATGACGGGTCAACAAGGTTGCGATGTCTCTGTCTCAGCTCCGTGTGGAGACAACATGTACGATGAAGACGGGAAGAAGTTTCCTCCCTGCATCCCCGGAGCCTGGCTCACCCCGGCCATCATGGCCTGCTACCTGCTGGTGGCCAACATCCTGCTGGTCAACCTGCTCATCGCCGTCTTCAAGTCAGTGACCCGAGCAGACCTCAGATCAGCTGCTGCCAGGACAGACACCCTTTCAAAATAAGTGTCCGGGAAGTTTAGTTTCCTGTGTTAGGGTCGGGTATACGTTAGTATACGTTTCTATTTGGTTTTGAATGTTATTCAGAGACAAATATCTTTGAACGGTGCATTAATTAGGTGCTTGCTGCACGTAGAGTCTGATGCAGGAAAGTAATTGCAACCTTTTGGATCAAAGTGACCCAATGAAGGGAAAAGCCCCCAATATATGTTGTTATTGTAGCATTAATAACTAGCATAATGTTGATTTGTGTTCTACTCTTTCTTTTTTTCTTTAATTTGAGTACGTTTTTGTTTCTAATAAAATTCCTAATAGTGAACTTGTACGTTAGCACAATGCTAAGTTAGTCAGTTAGCCACATGCTAACTGACTAACTAGTTACTAATGACTCCAGAAGGACTTTACGCATTAAGTTATGAACGTGTTTATGACAATAGAAACTGTGACATCCACAGCAACACCTTCTTCGAGGTAAAGTCCATCTCCAACCAGGTGTGGAAGTTCCAGCGGTATCAGCTGATCATGACCTTCCACGACCGCCCCATTCTGCCCCCCCCCCTCATCGTCGTCCCCCATATCTACATCCTGCTGAAGAGGCTGTGCTGCTGCTGCAGCCGGAGGCCGGAGGGAGACCGCTACGACCGCGAGAGGCGCCTCCGTAAGAGTTCAACCTCTCCGTTACGTACTTATACGTCGGGCCTTCGGGCGGCGTTAGAGGACACTTTCATTGTAGTAGGTTGATATTTCGTTCCTCACAAAGGGGTTTGGAACTCTTACAGACAAGTTCTGGATGTGAAGGCAACATAACATGATGTGTTTATGTAGAGCTCAGTCTGTCATCAATTCCATAAGAACATAGTAGTATATTACCTGGAAGGAAGCGCCTGCAGGGTGACGCTCTTCACCGCTCAATGAGTTTCTTACAGCAGCAGTAGTTTCTGCTCTCGGCCTCTTTCTGGATTCTGGATATTAATTTTTCATTAAGCAGTAAACTATATACTGATTTGTACGGTGGCCCTGAAGTGCAAAACACAACGGCATTAACTTCTTACGGAAAGGGGAGGGCCTTATAGCAGGAAGCAGAGGACGGACCCTTCTGATTGGACAGACGGGCTGTCTGTCTTTTAACCCTCTTAATCCGAAGCTTTTCGCCGGCGACGGAAAGTTACTTAACTATAGTCCTTAACTATTTGCATCGAAGTTGAGAAATGCAGCTTTCTAGATATTCTGTCAATCAATAAACGAGGGGCGGGACTGAGAGCCTGTGAGGGGGGGGAAGTGACCCAGCAGAGAGATGGAGATGTTTTACCAGTGTCTTAAAAGTGTCCTACTGGTGTTTCACCGTTGTTTTACCCGTGTTTTGGTGTCCAATTATATTTAGGTGTAAATAAAACTAAATAACGGGGGGGGGGGGGGGGACCGCGGGCTGTCCAATCTGCCATAAAACCCTCCCCCTTCCGTAAGACGTTCATTTCGTTGTGCGTTCCTATTTGTGTTGTGTTTTGCACTTCAGGGCCACCGTACATTTCACGTCATAGCTCATAAGGGTTCACTTGTATGCTAACAGAATTATCAGGCTTTTCATCATGGCGTAGGGACTAAAAGGTAAAAGGACCTTCAAAGATCAGACCCGCTTTGTGTCCCTCAGAGCTGCTGCTGAGCGCCGAGGAGCTGAAGAACCTGCACGAGTTTGAGGAGCAGTGTGTGGAGGAGTACTTCAGGGAGAAGGACGACGAGAAGCAGTCCTCTAACAACGAGAGGATCCGAGTGACGTCTGAGAGGTCGGAGGACTCACGTCTGCCCACTTTGTGTTTGACACTTATGAACATGTGAACTTATGTTCATGCAATGAGACACGAGGAGATGCTATTTACATTTAACTTTCATACCAGTTGAGGTATTTGAGGCCTGACCAAGGACACTAAATGATATGAAAAGTCACTAATTATAAAAAATATAATGCTTTATATAGTTTTGATTTATCAGTTTATCGTAAAACAACGTCATGAAAAGAAAATATCAAATGGATGGACAGATGTTATAACCTATACGAATATCATGAAACATCTTCTAAAGTAATTGAAACATCATAAATTCAATCATAACATTTTATTTAAATATGAAAGTATAAAAAAATAATAGAGAATGTTTTTAACCCTTCGCAAAAATGGAATAAATAGGTCATAAAGTGCTTTATTATGAAAAGCCACTGTGCAGCATTTGAGAAAAGTTACGTGAGTATCTGGTTAACCTTAATGGGCCAAAGTCAAATAGATGTTCTCCACCTCCTCAGGGTGGAGAACATGTTCATGCGTCTGGAGGAGGTGAACGAGCGGGAGCACTCGATGAAGGCCTCCCTGCAGACGGTGGACCTCCGCCTGGCCCAGATGGAGGAGTTCTCCGGCCGCATGATGAACGCCCTGGAGAAGCTGGCGGGCGTCGACCGGGCCCAGCTGGTCCGCCAGCACTCCAGGGCCTCGTCGGTTTGCGAGCCGGCTCAGCTGCTGCTGAGACACGGCAGCATGAACAGCGCCGACGGGTACAGTCTGTACCGATACCAGCTGGACCATGAGGACCGTGTCTCCGTGTCCGGAGAGGGCGAGGGTGGACCGCCAGGACCGACCGACAGGAAGGACCAGCTGAGTCCGGAGAGAGGACACGCCACAGGTACCATAACAAGGGGATACCTCTGCTCCCATAGACGTCTATGAGGAAATGACTCTACTTCTCTGTAGTGACCAGCAGGGGGCGACTCCTCTGCTCCCATAGACGTCTATGAGGAAATGACTCTACTTCTCTGTAGTGACCAGCAGGGGGCGACTCCTCTGCTCCCATAGACGTCTATGAGGAAATGACTCTACTTCTGTGTAGTGACCAGCAGGGGGCGACTCCTCTGCTCCCATAGACGTCTATGAGGAAATGACTCTACTTCTCTGTAGTGACCAGCAGGGGGCGACTCCTCTGCTCCCATAGACGTCTATGAGGAAATGACTCTACTTCTCTGTAGTGACCAGCAGGGGGCGACTCCTCTGCTCCCATAGACGTCTATGAGGAAATGACTCTACTTCTCTGTAGTGACCAGCAGGGGGCGACTCCTCTGCTCCCATAGACGTCTATGAGGAAATGACTCTACTTCTCTGTAGTGACCAGCAGGGGGCGACTCCTCTGCTCCCATAGACGTCTATGAGGAAATGACTCTACTTCTCTGTAGTGACCAGCAGGGGGCGACTCCTCTGCTCCCATAGACGTCTATGAGGAAATGACTCTACTTCTCTGTAGTGACCAGCAGGGGGCGACTCCTCTGCTCCCATAGACGTCTCTTTATTCCCTCAGTAAACATTGTAAACATGAGCTCAGTCTCTAGTTTCAAGTCTTCTTCAATACAACATGATGTTCATTTAGAACATTATGGTCCATTTGGAGTCAAACAGACCATAAAACGGGATGATTTAGGGCGGGGCTACACACTGATTGACAGGTCTCTCCAGACTGTTTCAGTCAGAAACAGCTTTTCTGGCCACTGGGCTGCACTCTAAGGTATTAGATGACATATTATTTCATTACTTAACGTCTACTTAAGTCCGCCAAAGCTTCTACTCAGTGGACTGACTCATCCCTCTCTCCATCAGCCTTAAAATAACTGGATTAATTCTCACTTCCATGTGTCCTCATGAAACTTCAGGTGGAACATGAAGCGTTCTCAAAGGATTCTCATCAATAAAATCAACAATAATGATTGATATGTAGATACATGTAGATGCAGCACGTGTGTTCGATGTGTCACACGATGATTGAGTGAACTAGTGACTTCATGACTTCATGTTCCTTGTTCTCAGCTGAGGTGAAGGAGTTCGGCTCGACTCTGGAGGTTACAGGCCCGAAGGAGAGGACGCAGTCTCCGTCCAACGTGGACATCCTAATTGTTCCCTGCGACCCCGGCCTCCGAGCCCCCGACCCGGAGCCAGCGCCGCCCCAGTGCCATGCGAGGGACGCTGATGGTGAGAAACCGGTGGAGAAAACCAGACTGGGCTCACGGCGGGCGTCCACATCTCACAGCACGCCTCAGCGTCCCTCCCCCCGAGTCCCAGCGGGGGGGGACCACGGCAACGAAGACAACCAGAAAACGGAGGAAATATCAACGGCACCTTCTGGCGGGGATCAGGGGGGCGAGACGATGGACCATAACCACGGTAACGGAGGAGGAGGGAGGGCGGCGGCGGAGGAGGAGGAGTTGCTGATGGTGGAGGACAGGATGTACCCGACGCTGCGCTCCAAGAGTCTGAACACCAACCCGAGGAAGACAAGGACAAAGAAGGAGACCGGGGAGACGCCTCACTCAGCCAGCAGCGTCACAGACCTCAGCGGGGGGGCGGGAGGCGACCTCTGAGGCGACCTCTGAGGCGACCTCTGAGGCGACCTCTGAGGCTTCTAAAGGAGTGAGGAGCTGTAGAAAACACCTCAAAGAGACAAGGAAGAAATACACAATCCAAAGCAACAACAAAGAGAAACAAAGTATTTAACTACGGTTGTATGAATCCAGCTTCACGCTGGACTATCTTCTGTCTCGCACTTGCGCAGGTCGAGTCTTCATACCAATAAAGTCAGCTGACCCTGGATGACCCGCCCGGCATGTATAAGTGCCGGTGTCGTCCTGAGATCATTAGAGGGCCGAGGGGCGAGCGTGAGTTGGGAAAAGGAGTTTCCAACACGACCCTTGTGGGCTGCGGCATCATGAGCCTCCGGTAAAAGGTTGTCTGTGACCCGACATCGGGCCTCAATGAGTCCTCGGGCGAAACTATGAGGGCCGCTGGCTGGTTCAATGGACGGCATACGGGCGAGGCCAAATTTTGCTGCGTCCAGCAAGGGCGCCAGGGCTCGTTCATCCGACGCGTGGCGGGACAGAGCTGTGGTGTCCCTCCAGCATGCATGCAGCTCCCTCAGATATTCGCCTGAGGGAGCCACTGGCCAACGGGAGCTCCGGCGGCTGCCTGTCCAACTGCAGGACAGGACTGCACGCCGCTGGCATGCCGATGAGCGACGCCATGGACGCGCTCTGCGCTGAGGAATAGCAACCCGGCCCAGGAGTGTGGAGGAGCTTCCCTGTACTCGGTGAAGAGATCGGCTGTTAGTGAGATAACCCGTCCTCAGGCTCGGGTGGGTCTGCAGCTTTCGGCCCCTCCTGCACTGTGATGGAGGTCCAGAAGAAGTGACTTCATCTGGGTTAGCTCGGCGGTCAGCAGATCCCCTCCAGAGGCCTGCTGGCCTTAGCCCTTTGTGTGGGACAGGGGAAGCGCTCTTAGTGGCCCACACTGCTCGACGCATGATGTCCGTACACGCCTCTTCCGACAGTCAGGTGCTTGAGGCCAAGGCAAGAGGGGCAGAGGTCACGGTCGTCCTGGGGCTGAAGAGGAGCCACACAGGTCCTACAGCTGGGGGAACGAGACATGGTCACATTACAGCAGCTTAAGCGGAAGCGCTCTGCTGGATGTTACTGGGACAGTGAGAGACGCTTCTAGGCTTCTTCACCTCGACAACCGCTGCAAAAGGCCAGAGAAATGAACCCGATCCGACATAGTGGAAGAGGAGTGAGGACGTGTTCACTCTCCACCAGCCGGCCTGAGTGGCAGAACGTTGGGGGAGTCGAAAGAAAGCAAAACCAGCCCGCGGTGAGAGGGGAGGGAATCAGGAAGTTACTGCAGATATTAATGTCTAACGGGACGCAGCGCGCCGAAACACGTCTGGATCTTAGAGAATCAAGCTTCGCTACCCGAGTAGCGAGAAGGTGGAATAGGACTGATCTCAGGATGACACCAGAGCTTCTACATGGCGGCCGGGTCATCCGGGGTCACACTCAACTGCGCAAGCGCGAGACAGGAGATGATCTGGTGTGAAGCGCCAAAAAAACACTACAGACACTAAATGAACATAAAGAGACACAATAACAACATGAAAAGACTAAACAGAAATGCACAAACAAACGTAACGAGACACAAAAACCGACAAAGACCAAATACGAACATGAGCAACAAAATACATGAAAAGCATCTGAGGACTCTGTTTGTTTGTCGATCGAGTGGAGCGTAAGAATATTGTAGTTATTATATTATTGTTTGACCTGTGAAGTTATTTATTGGTTCTTCTTGTTCTGTAATTAGTAAATTCAAACATATTTTCAGATCTTGATCTATGATTTCGAAGAAATCTTAGAGGATTAAAGGGAATAAAATCTACTTCCACACGGAGTCATTGCTTCTAAAAATAAAAGACTGACTCCTCCCTTTTTTTAACAGTCTCCATGTTTCCTTACCTTGTTTCCTTTCCTCACGTTGAGGTTCTTGCGTCGTGAGATATCAAATACAAATAAATGCAAGAGAAATGCAAAACAAATATAATGGAGATATCAGTGGTAGTAGTAGTAGTAGTAGTAGTAGTAGTAGTAGTCTTAATATCGTATTCATATATATATATATATATATATATATATATATATATATATAAGTATTAACACATTTTCCAACAACTTATGAAATTGATTCTAACATTCACATCTGGTTTCAATGTGCAACAAATATCGGTGAAACAAACTTACTTAATTGTTTGTTTTAGGATTTGGAAAATAATCCAACCAATAAATTAGTGATGTCATAATTTTAACAGCATGGTGAGAATAATAACATGATAAAATTCAGAACCATTTATTGGCCCGGTATGTCAGACATACGTATGTTAGTGATACCGGTGATTCACACATTAGTCAAAAAGACAAATTTACACGGTGCGAGAAATATGGATATGAAATATGAATATACTCAATTTATTTATATAAATGTACAATTCAATTGACAGAAGAATAATATAAAATTAAAATAAAGTGCATAGGTACACCACACACGTGTCCTGTGAGTATGTGTGAAAGTGACGAGTGAATTTGAATACGAACGATGAGGGCCGGTGCAGGGGGGCGACCGGTAGTCAGTCAGTGGGGGTCCGGCTCTGTCCATGAGGTCTTGGTCCTGATGGACCTCAGCCTCCTGCCAGATGGAAGGGGCACAAACAGGTTCTGTCCGGGGTGAGAGGGGTCGGCCAACTTCTTTCTAGCTCGTTTAAATTAATACAATTTGAAGAGAAAAAATCTGAAATGTCAAAGTCGGATCATAATCTGTTGAAGAGGCCGATCTGGGACCTGCCGCTCAAATGTTGTGTTGTTTACTCTGTAGCTGCCGTGACGGCCGTATAGTCTCCCCCCCCCCCACCCGTCCCCCACCCGTCGGCCGTAGCGTCTAAACCATGGTCACGCCCTTGCCTGCAGGTGGAGGAGGTGGAGGTCGTAGGCACCTTTGCACCAGGGCCTTCTGTTCAAAGCCTCCATGTGGGTGGTGGTGTGATGGTGCTTCTCCTTCCTGAGACTCCCATGGTTTCTACACTATTAAACCTTGATACACACTTTGATGTTACTGACAACACGTTGTATTGTTAACAAGTTGCCGATTATCTAATAAATGATGAAATGTTTTTGGTTGCTAAGTTTGTGAGAACTGTCCCTTATATCTTAATGATTGTATTATATCGTCACCTTTCCTATTTTTGGTGTTCGGTAAAGAATTATTAGTCTCTTCCCTTTCTCTTTCCATTGTTGGCTGTGTGACTAATTTACTGTATTTGTTGGACTCAACAGAATAAACAGAATAAGAAGTGAAAATGTTTTTCTGTGTGAACTCTGATAAGCTTCCAGGTTCGTTGGACTCACATTCATTATTTTACGTTTTCTAAAGGTCATCATAAACTCATTTTCACAAGATTTCTAAAAATATTCCCGAAAATGTTTCACCAGTAAAAACAGACTTCAAGAGAGAAAATGCATTTAGCCTTTATTGTTTATTATTATTTAACAAAGTAACTAAAGTCCAGTTTCTGCTCCCCCATCAAATCCAGATATCAACTTTAAAAACAACTCAGATTGCAGAACAAGAACAAGATGATGTAGAATGTTTTAAAAAAAGCAACAACATGCAGGTCTGAGAAATAAAGGAAATCCCACAACGTTGTCTCGTTGCCATGGCAATGTAAGACAATAAGGGGAAGAAAAACATTGCATTCAAATTGAAGCTGATTGACATCTGGGATTTACTGTGACCGCAGCGACATTAACGGAATCATATGATCTGGAACTGACAGACATTTAGCAGTACAACGCCAAAGGTCACCAGAGGGGGCGCCGAAGAGGACGGACAGTCAGATGTCCTGTGACGTAGAAATAAAGTTTGACCTGCTGGGCAGCCAATTTACTATTTTCTAAAACACCGATGGATCCTTTCTATTATCTCATATGTAGGCATTTATGTTGCCGTTAGCACGTTAGCACGTTAGCCGCAGCAGGTTCTTGTTTTCACACTGAAACAAGCTGAATCTGGTCTGAACGGAGCTAACTGACTCATGAAGAACCGCCCTGGTCCAATACTCTGGATTGTTGATCCAGCGGGTTTATCGGGTCTGCAGTTCTGATGTGTCAAGTTCCAACACACACACACACACACACACACACACACATGCACACACACACACACACATACATGCACACACACACACACATGCACACACACACATGCACAGAGGTGTCAATGTCCGGTCCAGACTAAGTGCTGTGGAGGAGCCCTACTTCCCGTTATTTCTCGGTCTTCATCTTGTCGCCGTACGTCCCGGCGTTCTTGTAAGCTCCCACGTAGCCCGTCTTCTCCACAATCTCCTCGCGGCCCTCGCGACCTTTGCCCTTGCCGCTCTCATCGAAGCGCTCCTTGTGTGATCCGGTATAGCGGGAGGCGTCAGTCAGCCGGTCTACCGCCTTCGCCTTCGCCATTTTCTGATGGAAACAAATGAGACTAAAGTCAGAGTTCCATCAAAGACTTGTTGAGACAAGTGCTGAAGACTCCGTTCGTCCTGTCTGATCATGTTAGAAGCTGTTCAAGGGAAACTGGACCTCAGCTGTTACACTGGAACATCCTGGTACGTTTCTATGCAGATGACACTCAGCTATACCTGCACCTGCTACCGTGTATGTGTAAATATATAGAATATATACTATACTGTATATTATATTATATCATATCTATCTATCTATATATAATATAGTATATATATATACATTATATAGACACAAGCGTGATCTCAGTCTCCAGGTGTGTCTCCTCCTCTGGAACAGGAGAATCCTGAATCTCAATCAGTTGTCGAGATTCCATCACATCACATGTCATTTATCTGACGCTTTTATCCAAAGCGACTTACAATAAGAACATTTCAACCATCAGGACACAAACTCAGAAGAACAAGAAAGTGTGATTTCCTCAAATAAGCCGATGTACAACTTGCTGTAGATAAGAACCATTATAAGTCCAATGTAAGTGGTACAGTTAGTTAGTGTGTTAGTGGAGGTAGAGTCTGAAGAGGTGTGTCTTTAGTCTGAAGATGTGAAGGCTCTCTGTGGTCCTGATGTCTTCAGAGAGAGATAAAGAAACTACGGTTGTCAGATAAAAACATGGCACCGCACCGTTACTCCCACGTTGGTGGGCTCTCTGCCTTCCACAAGCTTGTAGATGGACTCCAGCGCCTCCTCCTTACTTTGACCTTTGAACCTCTTCGGGGCCAAATCCTCCAAAGCTCTCTGGAACTCCTCGTAGGTGACGACACGAGACGTCTTCTGTCTGTGGAACAAATGATCAGAGTTTGATTTTATCTGAATGAGCGCCTGCTTTGGGGCCGGCATAAGAAGGAGGACGTCCTGGTGAGCAGACCTCTGGTCTGGGTTCTCAGCTACGGACTCACTTGACTTTGGAGAAGACAATGTCCACGTCAGTGGCAGTGACGTTCTTGCCGTCGATTATTCTGCAGTCTTTGCAGAGTTTGGCCCAGTTCTTCCCGTTCAGCTCCTTCCCCGTGGCTTTCGTGTCTCCGTGGATGGCAAACTTCTTGAAAGACGTCAGGAGCTGCTCCATGTCGGCGCTCTCTGCCATGATGGCAAAGGAAATCTGCAAAGCAGACAAACACTTTTAAACAGTCAAAGAGCTCAACAACCAAAGATTCCTCCTCCTTTTGTAAGAGAAGACGTTCCTTGATATCTGGTGGCAAAGAGGATTCCATTACATCCACGGTGAGATGAGACTGACCTCTGAAAAGAGCCTCAAAACAGCCACAAAGAGACGTAACAATCAGAGAGACACAAATAAAAACAAAAGGACACACAACAAACAAGGAGACCGAAGAGAAACACTGACTAATATTAGTTACTATAACACGTAACAGTGTTATATAATAAAATAAAAGATCATCTGTGCAGTGCTACTGTTTGTTTTGGCGTGTGCGTGTGTGTGTGTGTGTGTGTGTGTGTGTGTGTGCGTGTCTTGGGTGTGAGACATGACCTCACCCTGCGTTCTCAGTCTTGTGTGATTACACACACGTTGATGCAATCCCTAACAGTGGTTGTCATGGTAACGGAGTCTGTATACTGTATGACAGTTTCTCCATGAAGCTGTTTGAGTGACGTGCACGTGTCCAACAGCAGAGCCAATCAGACACAGCCTAGGTAATGGTGGGCGGGACTTAAGTTGGTATTGTAATTACTATTTTGTGTGCGTGTGTGTCTATCTTTACACTCAGGTTACAGACAGTTAAGACATTTTGTGAAGTTGATCACCTGTCCGTCTCTCTCACCCGTCCGTCTCTCTCTCTCTCACCCGTCCGTCTCTCTCTCTCTCACCCGTCCGTCTCTCTCTCTCTCACCTGTCCGTCTCTCTGCTAAACTGTCTGTGTCTCTGATCACCTGTCTTATGTATCGGTCTTTCTCTGACCTGTCCTTCTGTGGGTGAATATGTGCACAGCGTAAACAGTCCACATAATTACTTGTTTCATTTCACATTATGTTCATGGACACAAACAGTAGTCACTTCTAAACTAGAATGATTCATCAAACACATCATTGATTCTAAAACAACTAAAGACAACTTTTGATTCATTCGTTGGTGGATTCACACTTTATTAATCTTTCATTTTAATGTTTGTTTGTTTTGTGATTCTTCTTTATTTCAGTTACAAGCAGTTTAAAAGACAGAGACTCCTACCTGTGTCTCTCAGGACCCGTCTCTCCTCTGTCTCTCTCAGGACCCGTCCCTCCTCTCAGAATCCGTCTCTCTCAGGACGCGTCTCTCCTCTCTGTCTGTCTCTCTCTCAGGACGCGTCTCTCCTCTCTGTCTGTCTCTCTCAGGACCCGTCCCTCCTCTCAGAATCCGTCTCTCTCAGGACGCGTCTCTCCTCTCTGTCTGTCTCTCTCTCAGGACCTGTCTCCCCTTTCAGCTCTTCTGGCCCTCAGCAGCAGTCGCTTAGGTTCAAATGAGCTCCGTAGCACCGAGGAATTGTTGTCATCTGTTTACACTGTTGCCACGGCGACGCCCCCTCCCACAAGGGGGGAGGGCAATAAAAAAACAAGGGAGGGAGAACAGGAGTGGAGGGGTGGACGGCTGTCGGTCATCCTGCAGGTCCCAGAGCTGAAGGCCAGAGGTCCGTGGGAACGTTTCCACACAAACAAATGACTGTGATAATAATTATGAACATAAATACAACACGAGGAATTAAAAGAGTTAAAAAGGAAACACAAAAACAAGAAACAACACAAGGAAGAAACAAAGGACCACAAATATATGCAACGAATTGATGCAACATTTGCATTTCCTGCAAAAAACAAGAACACCTTCAAAAAAACCACAGAGACACAACATGTTGATGCAGGACGACCACAAAGACACAAAGACACAAAGAACCACCACAAAGACACATGACTACCACAAAGACACAAAGAACCACCACAAAGACACATGACTACCACAAAGACACAAAGAACCACCACAAAGACACATAACCACCACAAAGACACAAGGACACAAAGAACCACCACAAAGAGACAAAGAACTACCACAAAGACACAAAGAACTACCACAAAGACACAAATAACTACCACAAAGACACATAACTACCACAAAGACACATAACCACCACAAAGAGACAAATAACTCCCACAAAGACACATAACCACCACAAAGACACAAAGAACTACCACAAAGACACATAAACACCACAAAGACACATAACCACCACAAAGAGACAAAGAACTACCACAAAGACACACAACCACCACATTGAGACAAATAACTACTAAAAAGGAGACAGAACCACCACAAAGGGACACACAGCTACAACATGTTGATACCGAACCAGCACAAATAAACACATAACCACCACAAAGAGACAAAGAATTACTACAAAAACACATAACCATCACATTGAGACAAAGAACTACTAAAAAGGAGACAGAACCACCACAAAGAGACTTCGCCTGAGGAAGACTGGCATTGTAGGTTTGTTGACATTTTCTTAGTTTAGATAAACTAATTCCCACAAACCACAGCAGCAGGACACAAAAACAGTACTGACATGTGTAACATGTGATTTTTACTGGGAGGAGACAGGAAGTGAGTCTGACAAGAAGTTCTTCAATGTGAGAGTCAGGAAAAGTACTGTTTCTCTAAGAGACAAAGAACTACCACAAAGACACATAACCATCTCTACCTGTGTCTTTTTACTGCCTTTGTACTTTTTTGTGTATTTTAACACATTACATTACTTGTTACATGTTTCTTTCTTCTCTACGCTTTATTCCTGTGTTTTTCTACGTGACAACACGTTATATATTTTTCTATGTGTATTTGCTGTGCTTATATTCTACCTTAGAGGTCTTCAACGGGGGTCCGCAATGTGGATACATTGATGGAGATAACCACCGGTTCCCTCACAGCTCCGTTCATGCTGATACGACATCACAGGCACCAGCCAATCAGATCGCAGTTATGCTCACGTCTAAAGAGCGCAAAGCTCAAAAATAAAAGATGGGGGACCAAACTGCGTAGAATAGGGGGTCCCTGCTCCTTCTCGCTATCAGTTTGGGGGTCTTGGCCTGAAAACCGTTTCTCCAGGTTTCTTTTCAACTGTTGTCAGAGTCCGTGTGAACCCGACCTGTCGGCCCGTCTTCTCGTCCCTCGTGGATGCTACACAAGCAGCACTTACATACTACAACCAACCACGTTTTTTCAAAATGATAATTGGGGGCGTGTCTCTAGGGAGCACGTTGTTATGGGTGGGAGTGTCTCCAGAGACCAGATGGTCATTTGTCGTGGTGAGTCACATGACCCCTGGTCACAGGGCCCTGTCCTATTTTTATTGACACTTTTGAGAAGTTGAGTTCATTGACTGTTGGAACAGATGTGGGACAGGAAGTGATGTCATGGCAGGTGAAATGTGAGTTAGTCTGCGTCCAGCAATATCAGGAATCAAGAACATTTATTGCCAAAATATGTTAAACATACAAAGAATTTGACATGGCGGTTTGTGCCAAACGGACAGTAAGACAATAGACAACAAAACAAATAACATGGCATGTCAATTTACAAATTTACAATGTTACTAAAATAAAATAGAAGGCTATAGGAATAAAAATAAAGGATAAAAAGACAATAAAATCAAAAACTAGAAAATTCCACAGAGGTTTTAAGAGTGAGGCCTAAACATGAGTCGGCCAAGCAGGTAAGTTGCTGGCCGGCCACAAAGGCCCTCATGGTCCTCTCACCTGCCCAAAAACCCATTCCATTCATTCCAATGGAGCTTCTTGGCTCGGCATCTGGGGATTTTTGGGAATACCTTAAGTCATCTCGCTTAGCTGAGTCACAGCACACGATTCCCGATGGTCCCGACACTTGAAAAGACGTGAGAGCGACGCTGCGGTAGGAGAAGAAACCTTCACGGAAGAGAATAAGGTGATTAATAAGTATGTGAGATAACAAGGAGTCTGGCTCTGAAGCACAAAACGGAGGATGTAGAAAAGTCTGTCTCTCCTCACCAGCAGCTGAAGTTCATCCAGTTTGTTGCACAGTGAAGCTCGTTGGAGAGAAAGATGCCCGGCAGCGATGTGCGAGAACCACGCAACGAGCCGGCCCGTTTTCCTCGCCTACGGCGGTTCTCACCGCGCGATGAAAGGTCAGCGCACCTCTGACTAGAATGTCCAGTAATTCCACAGAAGAAAGAAGAAAGTTGGAACTCCGATAGAGATGTTCATGAGCTCATCTCTGGAGAAAGAGCTCCGGGAATCGCAACAGAATTAACGACAAAAAAACAACAGCACCGACGTACCGAGGCTACCATCCGCGGCGCCATCTTGACTAGTAATATTCTTACTTATTATGACCATAGAATGTTTTTAAATGTAATGCTCCGGTTCTTTAAAGTGAAGTCAAGTGATAGCTGCATCTGTGTGGTGACCAGCGGGGAGCGACTTCTCTGCTCCCTTAAACGTCTATGAGGAAATGTCTCTACTTCTCTGTAGTGACCAGCAGGGGGCGACTCCTCTGCTCCCATAGACGTCTATGAGGAAATGACTCTACTTCTCTGTAGTGACCAGCAGGGGGCGACTCCTCTGCTCCCATAGACGTCTATGAGGAAATGTCTCTTCTTCTCTGTAGTGACCAGCAGGGGGCGACTCCTCTGCTCCCATAGACGTCTATGAGGAAATGACTCTACTTCTCTGTAGTGACCAGCAGGGGGCGACTGCTCTGCTTCCATAGACGTCTATGAGGAAATGACTCTACTTCTCTGTAGTGACCAGCAGGGGGCGACTCCTCTGCTCCCATAGACGTCTATGAGGAAATGACTCTACATCTCTGTAGTGACCAGCAGGGGGCGACTCCTCTGCTCCCATAGACGTCTATGAGGAAATGACTCTACTTCTCTGTAGTGACCAGCAGGGGGCGACTCCTCTGCTCCCATAGACGTCTATGAGGAAATGACTCTACTTCTCTGTAGTGACCAGCAGGGGGCGACTCCTCTGCTCCCATAGACGTCTATGAGGAAATGACTCTACTTCTCTGTAGTGACCAGCAGGGGGCGACTCCTCTGCTCCCATAGACGTCTATGAGGAAATGTCTCTTCTTCTCTGTAGTGACCAGCAGGGGGCGACTCCTCTGCTCCCATAGACGTCTATGAGGAAATGACTCTACTTCTCTGTAGTGACCAGCAGGGGGCGACTCCTCTGCTCCCATAGACGTCTCTTTATTCCCTCAGTAAACATTGTAGACATGAGTTTATGGTCGTCAGTCTCAAGTCTTCATTTAGTACATTATGGTTCATGTAGAGTCAAACAGACCATAAAACAATGAGTGCTTTAGGGCGGGGCTACATGTTGATTGACAGGTCGACAGTTGAATGGAAACCAGTGAGAGATTGTTGGTGAACTGAACACACAAAGAGTGTGTGTGTGTGTGTGTGTGTGTGTGTGTGTGTGTGTGTCTCGGGAGGGAGCGACATACTTCTCACTGCCACTCCTTTTTCATCAGCACTGTTATGATGTTGTCGGGGCTCGTTGCCGAGGGAACCACTCCTTTCATTGCGGCAGGATGATGACATGCAACAACACAAACACACACACACACTTACACTTAAATTATCAGACTGACCTGCAAAATAAAAGCCGGACCTTCTCCTGATCACTGGTGATAAGTGAGACGGAGGTCGTGGAATGTCTCTGGTCTGCGTAAAGAAGCAGGCCAAACAAGCTGATGATGTCATCAGCGGAGCTCCTGTGTGAGCTGCGCCGTCCTTTGGGAGCTCTGTTCTGGGGCTTTTATTGTGAAGGATTCAGCTGAAGGAGGCGAGGAGGAAGAAAGGGCTCTACGGGAGTGTGTGAAAAGTAAATAGTTGCGGCCATCCTGGTTATTATTTCATTGGTACAATTAAGTATATCAGTTAAATTGGTCTCTGCAGCACAAAAAACCCGTAGATCGACAGCAAAGACTTCACATCAAGGCCCGGTGGCTCGTGATTGGCTGAAAAGTGGTAAGTATTGAGCTACAGTGTTGTGAAAAGGCCTTTTTAATTTAAAATAGTTAAATAGACAAATAATGGAGATATATATGTTTCATTATTTGGTGTACAATGCTGGACAGGAAGTGATATCAGGACTTCGGCTCATGTTCCATGTTGTCTGCACACAAACACACAGCTTCTCGTACCAAGCTACGCTTCACAGGTTCAGTTTAGCTTCAGTTATAAAGGTTGTGCACCAACATTAACTCAGTTTTGGCCTTCGGGATTAAAAAGTCATTATCCAAAACAAATGAATAGTCAAAAGATACAAAATCAAGTCTCTAGAATCAAAAAGGATTGTTCTGCGTGGCTAGAAAGAGAAGTCAGAGGGATCAGATTGTTCACAGCCCCATCCAGGACGTTGCACCTGAGCCCAGTGACACCCGAGACACGGGCCTGGACCCAGTCCTGGACCCGGGCCGGGACCCGTTCAGCCTCCTGCCCAGAGCGAGGTCGCCCTGAGCCTCTCCGCTGGCCCGGCTGACGAACACCACGGGCGGCTGGGTCGAGGCCATCTCAAACCTCAGCTCTGCGACGCTCTTGTGGGCTCGGGAGGAGGAGGCGGGGGCCTTTCTCTTAGTCCTGGGCAGGGGGGAGGGAAGGGAGAACGCAGGGACCACCCGGCGGGAAGACGAGGACGCGTCTCCGGCAGCCGCCGAGGACGAAGAGCCCAGTTTGGCTAACGCCACGGGGATCTCCTCCAGAGACTCGGCAGAGTCCGAGTGGTACTCGGCGGGGGGGGCGGCAGCCTGCACCAGCCCCGAGGGGGGCACCAGCGGGGGCAGGGAAGACCTCAGAGGGAATGCGGCGAAAGGAAGCCGCTGCCCTTGGGACACAGTGGACACGCTGCTGGGTTCTGATGGAGGACGACACATGAAAGGAAAACAGTCAGTGATTCGCTCAGAACTGAAGCGACTGATATCGATGGAGACGTCATCGCCCGGAGGTCTGTCCCTGAGCCCACTGAGACCTCTCCACAGTCAAAACCCGCCTCTTCAGAACGGCCTTCAATGCTGACTGTGTCGTCTCTATGGGCCCGGTTTGATTCATCTACTTGTAAAGTGACTTTGAGCATCGGGAAAGTATTTATATCATCATCATTGTACTGGTCAATGTACCAGTTATTGCACCCGACCAGTATGACGTTGAGGTGTCAGTGAGGCGGTATGCGTGTGCGTACCGGGGGGCGGGGCTGGACCCGGACAGCGCCTCCTGGTGACCACTACTGGAACTTTACGAACCTTCTTCTTCTTCTGTGGAACAAAGACAATTAGGAGACAACATTCATGTGTGATGTCACACTGATCATCAACACACAAGTCATGTCATGAATAAACATGACAACCAAAAGGAAACAAACACTTTTTTTCAAGTTTTACACAAGTCATGTTTTTACCCGTCGCTGTGCGTGTTCTTCTGCTTTCAGCTCAGCAGACGTTGTGGGCGGAGCCTCTTCCTTCATCACAGGACTGCACACGATCACACGATCACACACACACACACACACACACACACACACACACACACACACACACACACGTGGTTAACATTTGGTTCAGATCAACCTTTAATGAGAGTCTAGTGGGCGGAGTTGTTTATGAGGATACATGCGCACACTTCAAAGAAAACACGTCTCCATGGCAACGGCGCTCCTCAAAGTGTGCGTTTCCCCCATAGCGCCGTGTGTAGACCGAGCCGGTGGGCCGATCAAGGTACAGAACCAGAAACACTCACTCTGCCTCCCCCTGCATGGAGGCCGTGGGGGGGTCCTCCGCCTCCAGCTGAGGGTTGGTGTAGCCCAGAGTGTCCTATAAAGGAGACAGAGGATCATCTATGATGACATCATTGATGTGTTGATGGATCACGTGACGTAGTAAACAACCAAGCAGTGTTTAGAACTCGCAGTGTTAGTCGTCTAACGGCGCCATCACAACTCATCTGTGACGTGTAGCTTTGGTGAGTGAATCCAGATGTTTTCACATGAATATAAAGTAGATCTTAGAGGTGAATTATATGTTATTATTATTATACAGCCTTCCCTTCAGGTCAAAGCCAACAGGGCCTCAGTTACCTCAACGGGGCGGAGCGACGCTTCCACCAGCTCCTTGTCGTTTGCCGGTTTCTCCGGGTCTCTGCCGTCCTGACGGTGGCGCTGACGCACAATGTACTCAAACGTGCTGAGTCTGTTCCACACTGTGACACGCACACGCATGCACATGCATGCACACACACACGCACGCACGCACGCACGCACGCACACACACACACACACACACACACGCACGCACAGTGAAAAGAGCAACTCATTAGGAAACTAAACATACTCAGGGAAGGTTCTTCAATGCTTCCTGTATCAGCTCCTTTAGCGTTGGTTTCATTGTGACTGCTACACACACAGGTGTGTGTGCGTGTGTGTGTGTGTGTGTGTGTCTCACTCAGGTAGAGGTGGAAGCACAGTAGGTGGCAGAGCAGCACAGAGGACATCAGACCCAGCGCGATGGTGACGGCAGCAACGCCCGGAATCACAGGCGGCGCCGCCCGAACCGGAGCCACCGGCAGGAAGAGGAACCACACAGAGGTCTCATTCCCCACTGACGCACACAAACACACACAAACACACAATATGTGTGTAAAGGAATCCTGCATGTTTTAGTGGGATTGTGAGAGTTTTCAAACCATTTTAGGTTAATCTAAGATTATCTGGATAATATTGTTATCACAATTAACCGTCATAGATCCGAATTCTCATGATGGATCAGAGGTCAGGGGTCAGAGGTCAGGTCTTACCCAGGAAGTGCTTGTCAGAGCGGAGTTTGGACGGGTCCAGAAAAAACTCAATGAAGACGTAGGAGGAGACGACCAGAACCAGAGAGACTCCCAACAGAGCCGAGACCACGCTGTGGAGGAACAGCCTGCAGGACACACAGAGTACACACTATACACAGAGTACTGCTGAGTAAATACACGTAGTGCACATAGTACCGTCATTTCATATTCTGTGTAGTTTAGGATGTACAGTTGTATCAGTCGGTGGCCACTACTGGTGTTAACTACAAGAACCATCTCATCATAACGATATCAAACATTGTTCTGATTCCTGTCAAAAGATAACAAGAACAAGTAAGTCTGAAGAAGCCGAGTAGATGAAGAGTAGAAGACTCGCCTGTAGTTCCTGCTTCCCACACAGTTGTTGAGCCAGCGGCAGTGATGATCAAAGTCAGAAACACACTTGTTACAGGCGCTGCAGTGCTTTGACTTGGGGCCTCTGGATCAATACACAGACACTCGGGATCAATACACATACATATATTACATTACATTACATTACATGTCATTTAGCAGACGCTTTTATCCAAAGCGACTTACATTACACTTTAAACCCATGGCTTTTTCACATTTTTGCCTGGGGAGCAATTAGGGGTTAGGTGTCTTGCTCAGGGACACTTCGACATGGAACATGGGGCAGCCTGGAATCGAACCACCAACCTTGTGCTTCCCAGCACACCTTCTCTAACCCCTGCGCCATGACGACCCCGTTATATACACACACATCCATCACATGTCCTATCAGGATCAATACACATACATATACACACACATCCATCACATGTCCAATCAGGATCAATACAATACAGAACACTAGAAGTAGACACAGTAGAATTAGTAGTATTAGTCTGACATAAGAAGTAGTAGAAGGCTCAGGTGTAGTACAGATTAGAACTAGTAGTCGCTGCAGTACCAGTAGTAGTAACAGCAGCAGTACTAGTAGTCGCTGCAGTACCAGTAGTAGTACCAGATTAATACTAGTAGTGAGTGTAGTAATAGTATTTGCAGACTGCAGGTCTGACCCAGTTCTCCGGCTCCTCCTGAGAGAAACCAGACCAATGACCTGGTTTCTAAAGCCTTCATTATTTACACGGAGGAGCTGCATTAAACATGGAGGCAGGAAGCAGCTGCACTTCTTAAAGGGCCGGCTCACTTCACTCAGATCGGTGGTAAACACCAGAGACGCTCTGTGGCCCCCGAGGGACCCACTGTGACGTCTGCAAACACACCTGAGCCTTTGCCGTTAGCCGCGTTAGCGCCACCAGCTGACTGATTTAATGGTCATTGACTCCACTGTTTGTTCTGAATGAATATTAACCCCTTTGGTTATTTCAACTGTTTCTAAGGATCAACAAGAAAAATACTAATTGTTTTATCTTCAACTTCAAGTAGAAATGATGTCATGACAACACAGATACACAGATTATGTTATACTACATTTGAAGGTTCTGGGCTTCCCAGTTGTACGGAACTTTCCATATAAATAATAATAGAGATAGAAATGTCCCATTATTAAGGGGGTCCGATGAGATTTACTCACACGTCCACCTGGCACAGGTAGCAGTGGCAGTTCTCGATGACGTGGGCGTGTTTGGAGCGGTCGAACTCGGGCACCGGGCCGCGGTGGCTCTTGGTTCTGACGTTACGGTCGGCCGGGTCCACAGACACGGCCATCACGTGGACGCACATGTGACAGACGAAGGTGAAGCCAGTACACTGAAGCAGCATCAGGACGCAAACCCTGGATGGTGATTGGACGACGGTACACATCCAATGAGCATGACCAGCGGCCGACAGGCCTGTCGGGGAGAAAGGATACAATGTAGCCGGCGGGGATCCAGTGGGGGGGCAGCAGCGGAACGAACACACCAAAGCCAGTGACCGCAAAGTAGAGGTAGAGCAGCCAGGCCAGCAGCTGGAAAGGGTGGGGGGGCCAGCTCAACCCGTTGGTCCTGGAGCAGAGCGGCGCCTCGACCCGGTGGAGCCCGTCCTTACCCACCGGCGCCGTGCGGTTTGGGTTCCTGCTGCACACGTCCATCTTGCACTGAGACACCCACCATCAGGTATAAGAACATATCAATACATTGTTAGTGGTTATCGATATAAAAGCATGATTGTAATTAGGACAAATATAGAGCCGTTAAAGGTAGAATCTCATCGATGCTTCTCAGGTTAACCTGCTCGATACCTGCAGAACTATTGCTCATATGGACAAGTATGCAGATGGAGGTCAGCATAACATCTGGTGTGAAGGACTGACATCACCGGAACCGGGCCCGGTTCTCACCTGATCAGCACCGGTACTCGGGCCCTCCGGTCCACAGCATCCCGTCCCAAAGTCCGGGGCTTGACCCCCCACACACAGCCCCGTCCAAGAGGACCAGGGTGGATGGAACCTACTCGGGTCCGTCCAGAGAGAGACACAAAACTCGGTCAGACCGTCCCAGTACCGGCCATTAGCTCACGTCCATCCGTGCTACACCCAGTAATTAGCTCGCTGCTAACCGGCTTGTGGTCGCTGTTAAGCCGGTAAAAGAATAGAAAAAGAGGACTAGCTTGCTAAGCTAGTCACTACGCTAGCCTCCGCACAGCCGTGCTAACTAGCTAACCAAATAAAAGCCCCCGTCAGAAAAGCGGGGATGGCGTGGATCAGACGCCGGGCCTTAAATCTGACATGTTCACTGTAGAGGGTTAATTAGTAGTTACTTACTAGTCAACCGTAAACCTACTGGACAGTTAGCACGTTAGCATTACTGATGCGGAGTCCAACCTTCTCCCTATTACGGCCACTAAACGCCGTTTCCCTGGTAACACTGCATGTCTGTTCCTATTGGTCACAGCTACGCCCACTAGCCGCTGTGTGTACGTCCTCCAGAGCCATGTGAACTGATCCGAGACCAGCCTCCGCGCCCGCTGTTTGTAGATCATTGGGAGCCGTATGAACCACAGATATATATATAAAGGCCAGATGTCTCGTCCTTGTTACCGACCAACAAGGCGGCCATCTTACCACAGTCAGCTCGCTCACCCATAACATTGTGTTGATGGTACATGAACGTTTTTAATAACCATAACTCGCGTACGCAGTGTCATAACTACATCTCTGATGTTTATGACAAACCAACCCGTCTAAAAAATGTATCTATGGTGTGAACTGATCCGAGACCAGCCTCCCCGCCGGTCCCTGCCCGCTGTGATGATGCGCGGACTCCAGCAGGGGGCAGCACGGACGTTCAAACACGAAGACAAACTGAGTGAGGACAAACAAGCTTACTTTCACTTTACGTACGTATGATGTCGTAGTGATAGAGCAGTGACACGAGTGCTGAGGGCTATTGCGCGAAACCAGGATAAGGGATATTCAGGTTATCCTGGATGAATTTAGCTTTGACTTGGTTAACAGCCAGGCTAACAGCCAAGCTAACACCCAGGCTAACAGCCAAGCTAACAGCCAAGCTAACACCCAGGCTAACAGCCAGGCTAACAGCCAAGCTAGATAGATAGATAGATACTTTATTGATCCCTCAAGAGGGAAATTTTGGTATCACAGCAGCATGTACAGGGAAGAAAATAGAATAAAAAAATACACATTATATACAATATAATAAGAGAAATATTAAATTAAATTAAATAAACTGAAACAAAAGAATAACCTTCCAAAAGAAAGAGCAGCAACATAACAGCAGTACAGGGTTATTATTGTCATTATTTAGCCTGGGATGGTTTATTGTAGAGTGTTGTTGCACTGGGCAGGAATGACCTCCTGTATCGGTCCTTGTGACAGCGGAGCTGAAGGAGTCTGTTGGAGGACGTGCTCCGCTGTCCCTGTAGCAGGTGGTCAGGATTATCCAATACGGATAACAGTTTCTTCAGTGACCTCCCCTCCAACACCTTTTCCAAGCTGTCCTGTTTGCAGCCAACGATGGAGCCGGCCTTCTTAACAAGTTTGTTAAGTCTGCTGGTGTCACCGGCTCCAATGCTGCTCCCCCAGCAGACCCCGGCAAGTACAAAGCACCGGCCGCTGCACACATGGAAGGATCGACGCTTCCTCAGGAAAAACAGTCGACTCATCCCCTTCCAGTAGACGGCGTTGAAGGATAACACCCAGGCTAACAGCCAAGCTAACACCCAGGCTAACAGCCAAGCTAACAGCCAGGATAACATCCAGGCTAACAGCCAAGCTAACACCCAGGCTAACAGCCAAGCTAACACCCAGGCTAACAGCCAAGCTAACAGCCAGGCTAACAGCCAAGCTAACAGCCAGGCTTCGAGTCCCACACCTGCCAATATGCTTTTCCCTTTTTTACTGCAAGTTGTAGGATATTAGAATAAAACTGACGATCCGGTTCATAAAATTAATAAAATGCATATAGTGTCCACCAGAATACAGCCATGATTCTGGAACTGTGTAATCAATAAAGTAATGACAATATTGTAAAACCACTGTAGTTCTGCAACTGTAATAGAACAATACCAATGTAGTTATGATTGTGTTTGATGTAATGTGATCAACTTGAATGCATGCATGTAATACTTGCACAACAACTGATATTGACTAAGGGCCGTTTGAAATCCGAGTTACATTGAACTCACCAGAAGACTCCCAGAGGTGTGGACACTGACTTTCACACCTTTAAGCATTGTTATAAATACCTGTAGGAACCATTGTTCTGGAGTTCGCTGGTGGAGGCGACAGACGGGCACTATGGGGGTCAAAGGACTGACCTCAGCTGAGATGTTCTTTTTACCACAACACAATCCCTTTTATTAAATACACTTTTCAATTAGTGAATCAACCGAGGCCCAACACAGGACACACATTAGACCTTTTGCTCTGTCGTGGTTTTTGTTTGGAAAACGTGACTCTTTGTGATTTTGCAGTCTGTGATCACAAGGCCGTGTTTCTCCGGGTTCCGATCCTCTCTCATGGGCCCAAACACCCCAAATTGATTTGCCTCGGCCCGTTAAGTGCTCTCTCTATTCTGCAGGGCTTTTAGTTCTAATGACGAACAACTTGTGAGCACTTTTAACAGTTCCTGTACAAACACTTTGGTTTCCATAGCTCCCGTTAGCAGTTAGAAGTGGACTCAATCTTCCCTGCCACGGCTCACTGGAGATAAAACGCAGAAAGGCTGAACGGTTTTTGGCAAGAAGACAAAATAATTGAGTATCCTGTATAGTATTCTGAGTACCATGTTTAATGTTTTTTATATCAGAAAAGTTAAAAAAGCAAGGAGCACCTACTTTTCAGATCTGATCATTGAACATGCTCACAGTCCCCCACTGAACCAACCTGCAGATTCAACTCCAGGGAGATTTTTAAATTACTTTCAAAATAAAGTCCTGGAGATTCGGCTCCATTTCAACCACCCAAACCATCTTCTCTACCCCACGTCAGTGAAATGTCTGCTTGCACTTGTGAAATCATCCGCCTGTCCTTCAGACGGTATTCTCACTTGCTTTTTAAAAGCTGTATTTTGGACGGTTGCCCCTCACATCTGATCCATTATTAACTGCTCCCTGTCAACGGGTATTTTTCTCTCAAATTTTAAACATGTTAACGTCACAAATGACCTACTGCATCCGACACGGGCCTGTAGTTTTAATTCTTCTCGATCTCAGCTCGGCTTTTCATACTGTGGACCACTGTGTTTTAACCAGCCGTCTAAAAATGATGTTGGGTTCAGTGGGTCAGCGTTGGACTGGTTCATTTCATATCTGTCACACACGTCGCGTCCTCACAGTCCGCCGATGACGGCTTGTATAAGCGCTCATATTTACACATTTCTTCCCACTAAAGCTCTTCAATCTGATCCGTTCTCTCGTAAACGTTCTTCCTTTTAATAACGGCCGTATTGTGCTGTGAAAACGGAGACGTGAGACTCCGTAAAGGACGGAGTCAGAGACCAATCACAGCCTGCTGCTGCAGGAGGCTGCAAAGCTTTACACGCTGGTTTAGAAAAATGGGTCGACGCACGCAAGGAGGTGAAAAGACACGCGAGGGACACGCAAGGGACACATAAGGGACACGCAGGGGACACGCAAAGGGGGTCTTGCATCTGCGTTTCCTTGCGTCGCTCTGAAAACGCAGAAGCATAAACTAGGCTGAAGAGGAGGCGGAGGAGGAAGAGGGAGGGGCGGAGCTTGTGAGCGCCGCCGAGCATTTGGGGGCGAAATTCTCACAAGAACTCAAATAAATGCTCCGTCAGGTATAAAAACACACTGGGGGGGGAATGGATGACAAAGAGAGTCATTTTTATTCTTAATATTGATGAAAAGCAGAGGGGGTCAATCTGCACGTACGCACACACACAACCAAGGAAGCTACTGCACCTTTAAATGAACATTTCCAATCTCTACCAGGCGGCCTAGACGATAAAAGCAAAGCTGTTTGTAAGTATCTTTACACCAGAGTATATGGGCCTAAAGTACTACAAGCCTCAAGTACTACGAGTTCAAGTACTACTCAAAGCATCACGCAGCATCAGCCTCCAAGCAGCCCACCAGCTACAAACAACCAGCGGGGCGAGACTTCAGCCGACCACGTCGATGAGGCGTGCGGGACAACTGGGGACAAACCAACGCAAGAAGAATGAAGCGTCCTCAGAACCGCAGCACACGAGGCTCCCAAACCGCACAAACAAGCACTAATATACACTAAGCGTAATCTAATGAGACGCTCAATAAGTCTGTTAGCTTAAAGTAAGTGATGAAATGTGCTGCGTTTCATATAAATCACATCTCAACCAAAGAAAGAGGTTCAGGTCACGTTGTGGATCATTTCACCACATTGTTGTTTAAAATGTATCTATTCTTCTTTTATAGCAGACAGATGAGTTCCACTCACAAGTAAATATAGAGAGACCTGTATTGCTCCTCTAGCTGACGACATCACCGGGATCATCAGCTAAAGCGTCCTCAAGGCACGCCATCCCTCTGATCAGCTTCAAAAATACGTCTTCATTCCCATTTTCTACAGCGCGGCGTTCAGCTGTGACGTCACTACCAGGTGGACAGAACCTTTGTTAGACTCAACAGCTCGTGGTCCGACCGGGGGCGACTGGTTCAGACCTCTGAAGGGGACTCCACGTCGGGGTCCCGGCCTCCACTGGAGAGCTGCAGCCTGCGAGGTCACGGTGACCCGGGTGAGGACCAATCAGAGGCCCCCGTGAGTGAGGGGGATCAGACGGCAGGAGAACTTCTCACGCTTCAGGAGACGCCGCGCCGGCTCGGCCAGCACGAAGAAAAAACAAAAAACAATCTGCTCCAGAAGAGCCGGGTCCTCCACTGAAATCACCTGGAGCCTTCTGGGTAACGGGTCCCATCAGCAGGGCGGAGAAGAACTGTAGCTGATGTCAGATCACCTCTACACACAGCCTGCAAAGAAAGGTCAGCTACTGTAAAGGTCAAAGGTCAACCATTCGAGCCTTTGTGGTCACATCCGGCCCCTCGTCACTACGAGTCCCCGCCACTGCAGGCAGGACGCTCCATGCAGAATGAATGCAACTGTACTTTTAGCAGTAGCCGTTAGCAATGGTTAGCACGCGCGCAGAAAGACCTCCTACTGCATCACGTCCCTGAGGACCAGGGTCTGTTCTGGTTCAGGCAAAGACCTCCTCCCCGAGCAGGCGATCACGTAATGACACTTTTCTCTCCCTGGCAGATTTGTTTTGCAACATACGCACAAAAGCAGGAAAATAATGACGCGTTACTGATGAAGCAGCAACAACAGTTGGAAGAAATCAAAGACGACATGGCGTCCCTGACTCAGCGTGCACATTCCATCCCTGCAGTCTCAAACTGCTGCTGCATTACAATTATTGGATCAGTCACAGCAGCGGGAATATCTCCGTCTGCACACACGGCTTTGCTGCCGCGCACTCGTCAATACACACAACTGATGCCCAAAGAAAGACGGAGGTCCGTTTAACTGCTCGCAATGCGCGGTGTGGTGGGCGGAGAAAGGCGCTCTGTACGTCTGCCGCGGCGCTGCTAATGCTACGTACATGAGGGCCGAAGACCTCAGCCAGACCCTCTGAGACCTGAATCAGAGCCTCTGAGACCTCAGCCAGACCCTCTGAGACCTGAATCAGACCCTCTGAGACCTGAATCAGAGCATCTGAGACCTGAACTAGACCCTCTGAGACCTGAATCAGAGCACCTGAGACCTCAGCCAGACCCTCTGAGACCTGAATCAGAGCACCTGAGACCTCAGCCAGACCCTCTGAGACCTGAATCAGAGCATCTGAGACCTGAACTAGACCCTCTGAGACCTGAATCAGACCCTCTGAGACCTCAGCCAGACCCTCTGAGACCTGAATCAGAGCACCTGAGACCTCAGCCAGACCCTCTGAGACCTGAATCAGACCCTCGGGGACCTCAGCCAGACCCTCTGAGACCTGAATCAGAGCACCTGAGACCTGAACTAGACCCTCTGAAAGAAATAAACACAAACTGGACCTAA